GGTCCATTTTATTGTTCTTTCTACGTGCCATTATAACACATTTTCATCTCATCATTTAATTTCTGTTGTACATATATTGTTGTATAGAAGATATTTTAAAGTGATTCATCAGGTGGAAAACAAAGTTTTATAATAATGAAATGTATGAAAAGTGACCCCGAAAAATGAAGCTAACTCGGTAACCTGTGGCCCAATTTTATCGAAACTTGTTTTATTCTGTTTCTATTCTCATTTCATTACAAATATGGCACTATTGTGCACCGTTTTTGCTGTATTTAATTACAGACAAGCACATGCACAAACAATCTAAGAGTTTTAGTAGTATATATATATATATATATCATTCAGGAGGATACCTCCATGGTCCACCACCCCAGTGGCTTAGAACTGGAAAATGGTAAGGACTCTCTCACTCCACTGGAAGCAATGAGGGGAGAATGCAGTGAAGAGTACAGATGAACATTCACACTGGAGACAGTGCAACGGGTGACCATGAAACCCTGTTTTGAAAAGCAGACTAAACCTGATTTATTCAATCTAAGGAATAGCAGGGATAGGTAGCAATATCTTTCTGCTCTACCCATGAAGTGCATGGTTTTGTAGAATCAGGAATGACTTACAAGTAATCTTGTGGAACACCCCACCTCTAGTTTATGTGATTATAAAGAACATTGTATGTTTTGTGGCCAAGGAAATTATGAAAGTGAAATCAACATGGCCTAAGAGTATGGGTTTTAGTACAATTCGAAGTGATTGAAGTATACCTGGACAGGCACCACTCACCACAGAGCAGGATCCTGGTCAAAACATGGGACAGCCCACTGAAAAATAATACATATAACAAAAGAAAGAAAATTTACCCAGTTACAATCTCGTTGAGGAGTGAAGGATGGCAACAGGTGGAAGGCTGTACCCCGATGCAGAAGAAACAACTACCCAAAGCAGATAATGGGATACGAACGTACGAGGTGTAATCCCAGTGCTTGACAGATGAAGTACCTCCAACAGACCATGGGGTTGAGATGCAGGTAAATGGTAAGGTGCCTGAACAAAGTGAAGACAACAGGAATTGATTACGGGAAGAAGGAGACAAGGAATAAAAGGCCAACAGAATCACAAGCCAAATTCAATGGGTAAGAGAGGAAGGGAAAAAAATAATCAGGAACAGAGGAGTGGTGAAAGGGAATGAAACTGCAGGAAATGGTGTCAATGGAAAGAAGCCTTGAAAGCAATGAAGCAACCCAGAGCATGTACGGGACAGAGATGGTTATCTGGATCTGATTAAGAATACGGGTGGAAGATGGCAATAAACAAAAATGACAAAGAATATTCCACACATGCCTCCAAAGTGTAGGTAAGTAAAACTGACCCTGAACAAAAAAAACTTATCAAGCCGAAACAGCCAAGAAAACCAAATCTGTGCTAGCCAGGAAAGATAAGAGTGACATGGATGATCAAAATTACCTTAGAAAGAAGAATGACGGAATGAGAAAGTTATAAACTGGATCTAATCCTGTCTGAACGTATCGACAGCCAGAGTATGTGGATGATGAACAGGAGACAAAAAACAAACGAGTTAACTTTGAATTGAGAAAAGGAGTCAAACACTTCTCATGGAAGAGTACCACACAGGAGGCAGAGCTAACGAAAATAGGAGGATCAAGAGGCCACTCCTTGGGAGAAAGTGTGTCGGGACTGGAAGGATGATCTGCAACTGGGATGAAAACACCTGGAACATGACATGCCAGGAGACATATGTCAAGTATGTGGGTTCAGAAAAGGAAATCCACTGTCTACCACAAAAGGAACAAGAACAAGTGCTGCATTGGTGAGTGATATAAGTCACCACCGTCGAATAGTTAGAATGAAACATTAGTCAAATCGAAACAAGAGGAAGAAAATGAACTGCCAGAAGTGCAAGGGCGTTAACATGGTAAGATCTTTTGTCTGTAGACCATTGCCCTGAAACCTCCTGATAATTGACCCATGCCCCACAATTTTGGAGATGAGCCTCGGGGAAGAGAAACAAATCTGGACGAGGAGAAGAAATCAGTAAACTCAATGATATGGAGGATATGTTCAACCACCAATACATACAGTCAAAAAGGGAAGGAGGAAAGTTAAGAGGAGAATCCAAAGGAACCCTAGTATTATACCATGGGTCATACAACATTTCCTGAAAAGATCACAAATGTGCTAGACTGAAAGGGAGAAGTGCTACTATATAAGCCACATTCCCCAGTGTGTTAGAACCTCACTAGCTGTAAGATAGTGAACTGTGATGGCATGGATAACAGAAAGCTACATTGAATGCACTTGAAGAGGAGAATGGATGGTTCCAACAGAGGTGAGTGTTTCATAAGACACTCCCCAAATAGCCAGGATTGTTAGGTAGGTAACAGGAAAAACTTATACAACTGGAAAATCCAACCAACCGAGCTGCTTGTGTAAGAAGTTGATGAGTAAGTTATAACCATTCCAGTTTGGAAGGAGCTATCTGAAGTTAGGCACCCAAGTAGTGATGTTAATAAAATCCCCCGAAAATGTGAAAGTCAAGAAAAATGCAGACCACTTGACAAAAGACATATGAAACCAAAACAAGTCTGAAAGGCAAGGCACGAAACTGGTACTGAATCACGTGGTGAAAAAACCTAAGACAGCATACCGAGAAATAAAAAATAAGAATGTGTATTGTGGGCATTCTTAGTCCTGTAGAAATTGCCCACCTGATTGTGATCAAAGACTACATATTAAAACAGGGGAGAACTATAAAGTGATTGAGATGGGACAGATCGATCCAGGACTTTAATCAACATCAAGCATACAGAATGAATGGAGAAACCTGTAGGTAGGACAGGTAAAAGACAAGAAGGTGAATAAAGATGGCAATGACTCAGAATGCAACAAAAGAGCAACCAAAAAATTATAATATAGCATTGAAGATACCTCGCATGAGGCTATATGTACAGGAGTAGCCCCACCAAAAAAAAACGGACTGGTGGATGAAAAAACCCGACTGTATGTCCCTATCAGAAATGGATGGTAAACATACAGTATAAAACAGTGTCCCACCCCAGGAGATTCCAAAAGCAAAAAAGTCACATGTGGAGGGAAAAAACTGAAGATGGCAAATACCCTAACATGGAGGGAAGGAGTAAGAGGTATCCCACTAAAATCCTGTAGATATAGGTGGAACATCTAAGAAAGGAGGTACGAGGTAGACATTTCCTGTAGTAGAGTCGATAGGGAAAGACCAAGTTGGAAAACTAAGTGGCAATAAAATGGATAGGATTAACACAGACAACTGAAGAGCTTGTCATAATGAACTAATATTTTTAACATTGTTGATCTAAATTAAAAGATAACCTAACTAGGTCTGTGTTTTATCTTGTCCAAAAATTATGCAAGTTGTTAATAACTGTGAAAATGATGAAGTATGAGGCACAAATAGATTGTAATATTAATTAATTTGGCTACAGAAATAATCAAACACACTATGTTAATATGTAAAATCACTGTTTTAATTATATTATAATCATACGTATGTATTAAAAATGTTCAATGACTGTTTGTGCTTAAGTTTAATTTAATAAGATTTTTATGCTTTTTGTCACTTCCTTATAATTTCTAAATAAGAAATATACAGAATTATTCAACCAAATGTGATAATGAAGGTCTGAAAACATTTCTTTGAATCTAAGAAATCTTTGGGCATTTTAACCAAGTCTGAAACAAAGAGTGGTGTCCAATACCTTTGGCTGCCTTGACAGATGGATATTTGGAAGAGAAAGCATTATAGAGTGCTAGGTCATCTACTTCAGGACTAAGGTCTCCTACAAACAAGGAATGTTCTTTCCTGTAGAAACACACAATAAAAAATAAAATTCCTTCTAATTCTCAACTATTTTCAGGTTCAAAACAATTTTAATTCTTAACTTTTATGCTTGTTACAAGCACAACATTTAACAAGATTTCCTGAAATACTGGAAACCTTTATGTTCAATCTAAAGATATCATCTGGATACTACATGTGCATACAAGTGCTTTAGAAGTTAAGGTTCTGGAGAATATTCAAAAAATAATAAGGACCAAAACCTCTTTCATTATGCCTTGTTTCATCCAGTAGTTGTGGTATGAATTCAATGAGCCTTAACTTGGAAAACTAGCATTCACAAAGGTGTAGCAATGGGAAGGTTTTATATACTGGCACTTACAAAGTTTTTAATAATACAAATATAATGATTATTAGAGAGAGCATGATATTATAAGCTAAGTTTGTTTGAAGCTAAGTACAAAGCTACACCATGGGTATCGAAACCAGGTTTCTAGCATTGTAAGTCTGCAGACATACCACTGTGCCACTGGGGGGACGATCTTATTAGCCAAAGAAAAATTATACTCCATCAATAATCTTCATTATTCAGAATTTCAAGTGCAAACTTTCCAACAGCTGAATATTTAATGCTGTCATTAGTAAAATCTATGTCTCAGTTACACAAACCTAGTTGTGTAAAAATACTTGAATACCTTCTCTGACATACATTGGACACTTATTTTCTCTAGTTATGTCTTAACGATAAGTAATTTATTACTTATATTAGATAAAGGAATATAATTACAGGTATCAGACTCAATACTTATTGATCTACTCAGCAGATTGTCAACACTTACTTTTAAGGATTTATCAATTTAAAAAAAACAACTTTCTTTTGATAATTGTAAAATTTTTGTTTTGGTAAAGTTTATTATTGATTGGTTCAACAGTTCTTGCTATAATAACACCTTTGACCATTGTGCTGCACTGTCTTAATATGCTGAATGTGCTTCAACTTTCTACAGCTTGGATATTTTTCAGTTACATTAAAAACCTTTCAGTATTATAAATACTCTGGGTATACAACTTAATAAAAATAATATTCTAATAGAATAAAGCAATTTCATTAAAAGTATATCAACCGAATTAACAAAAACATCACCAGTGTATTGTTATATCATGGCAATGCCATTTGCTATATCTAACTGAAATGTTGTTTAGATAGAGCTTGAGATGTAAGATCATACATTAAATTAATTCAAACTGAAACAGATTCTTTGTATGTTATATTAAAATAAATAATTTAATAAATATTAATGAAAATAAAAATAATTAAATGTAAATCGTTGCTTTCATATTTTATTAGATTTGCTATATTTTGTTTAAAAAGTTGTATTTTGATATTTTATCTTTTTATTCTTTAAGCATAGTTGAAAAACTTAGAAATAATAATGTACAAAGTTCTATAATAATAATGTACCTCACACAGTATGTGACATAACTTCATTACAGGTGGAAAGAATTTATGACTGCTTTAATCTCTGTTATTGTTATGGGACGATGCTTACAATAGTGTGAATAACAAAATCATCTTAAATGCAAGTAAGAGGAAAAATGGTTATTTCTAAAATCAACTTCAGGGAAACTCTTGTGATTATGGCATATTCTTGATAAAGCTGTCATCATTTCTGGTGACAATTTTTTTCTACCATAGTTTTGATGAACTGTTTGAGTTATTAGTATGTATGTGATGTGTATGTCATTGGGCTAAATATGTGATGAAATTGTTTGACTTTCTATCAGTGTTAATCACACTTTATAACTAATTCCTCCATAAACCATCCTTAATGTAATGGTCATCATTACATATTATTGCTGACACCATAATTTCCACTGTAAAAGCTTCTGAAAAGGATAGCAAAGCCAACCATAGATCAGACATCTTGAAAAACATTCAACAGATCAGAGATCTTCTCCCAAGCCAATTTCTATGCAAATAAAAGGTACAAAAGACCATTAGAGCAGTGTCAGAGGTCTTGACAGGTATGTGTCAAATGGGAGTGATGTGTTTTCAGTTTCTTCAACCATCTCAAGAAAACAAGTGTTGATTGCAAAGCATGGCTGGATGCTTGTAAATATTTAGTTCACAAGACTATGTCAACTTAAAATCCTTATTTATTACCTTGTTAAGGGTTGTAAAAGATATTTCTAGCTTCATTACAATGTCCTTTTTGGATTAGAGGGTTCTCTTTTGTAGCCACAGACTCCAGTTCACAAATGGGAACATTACTGTTTATTAGCTACACATTATTCAACTGTCTTGTTGTATGAATACTTCTCTTTGAAAAAGATTTTCATAAACCTTCAACTATAATTCTACACTAGGAACATTAAATATTTTTGTATTCACTACAAACCAAACATGTCACCTATGGCATCATGGTTTGCATTTCTGGTGAAGGACCACTGAATTAGCATACACATTTTTCAAATAAAGAGTGATTAACCCTTATTATGTACACAATGAAATGTTTTGTCTTTCTGATACAAACATGGTGAAATTATTTATCATTTTAGTACAATCGTGATGAAACTTTTAGACTGGTTTTGATACAAATATTACACACAAATTGTATATTAGCTTGGTACACACATAATGAAGATGTTTTCGCTTCATACACGTATCAATATAAGATGAAATTATGTAATATTGGTAAATACCTGGTAAATATGTTTATCATTACAAAATGTACACAGTGATATTGTATGTAATTTTAACACAAATGTAACAACACTGTCATTCAGGAATGCGTACATCATAAAAATAATTTAAGCATAAACTTGGTAACTATGGTAGATAGATGATAGAATTGACATAAACTTAGTAATAGTTTTTATTTTGTCAAAACGTAATAAGAAATCTTATTGTTTTGATACATGTTTGTTGTTTATTTTGATAAAAAAAAATGGAAATTATTAGTTTTCATTTTGTTAGTTTTATTTCCACTCATTACTATCATATAAAGTAAAATCAGACTACTTAATCAACTTTAAAAATACTCACTGCTGTAGATGTTCTTTACCATAACTGGCATGGTTCAGCTTGAACCTTTTTGGCTGAAAAAAGGCAAAACTATTTTTCTCAGTATCAAAGGAAAAAATTAAATATGAGAATTATTTTATGCCAAATTAAGCTTAATACTTTCTAAGCTTTTACTTAATACAGGCAAAACCACGCAGTTTGCTAATGGTAAGAAAGAATCTAACTTGAAAAAAACTAGCATCTTAGGACAATAGACATTTACTTATCTTTATAAAAACTAAAAAAATCTTAGTTGTGAGACGTAAACCGTTAGAGGCTTATGTATAGATAGATGATAAACTCTGTATTAGTGATTTTATATAGTTCTTCCAAACTTGACCTAACCTCTCACAAGAAAATATATGTTGTACATTATTACTGCACAAAAAGTTAACATTTTCCTGTACCTGAAAATGTATTCGTGATAGATATTTACCTCTCTGGACGCAGCAACTATTTTTCATGTGCCTGCATGTGAGATTTTGTGCTTGAACTATCTCCTACCTAAATCATGTTTTGATATGAACTGCTTTAGTACATGATGTAATCATCATGGGGCAATAACCCTCCACCAATAACAGGGCAACACATTCTCCATGCACAGTAGAGCCCTATAAGTACTTGCACTTGAAATTAACTTCATTCTTAGATGAGCTAAGAATAATGTGCACCAGTAGTGGGGAGGAAAGGTGGGAGGGTGTGTAGAGATGTAACTATTTTATTGGAAAGAAAAATGTTCACTTTTGAAACTATTCACTTACCCCTCTGCATACAATAGCTAGAACCCCATAATTAATGAGGGGTAGGGGCCAGTGCAAAAAAAAAAACTCTAGATGATCTCCCTTCAGAAAAGGCATCAGAATGGGAAAGCTCATGGAGCATGACCCAGTAGTGGGGTTCAATAGAGTGGCAATACCTGTGGGAGACTGCATGCTTCTCAGGCAGTGTATACTCTTCACCCAGATGGAAGTATGAAAAGAGTAAAGCAAAAATGAGCCAATGTGTTGCAGGAATGGGAGGAAAAAAGACATGACAACTGAACTTTTGCACAGATTGAATGGATATATGGTATAATGAGGCTAGGGCAATAATCAGACCATATGGATTGGTAGGTGTTCTGTTGTACAATTTGCTCAATATACGTACAGGAACAAGGACTAAGATCCCTTCCCCTGCCTCCAGAGGTGAACACTTTGCCCCATCTGATTGGTCAAAACCACAGGGAAATTGGCATACAATAGAATAGGGGGAGACCTGCATTACACTGACATGGACAACCCTGCACTAATTCCAACTGCACTGTGCTGTCCACTCGGACTCTTGATGGGGAAAAACTCTCCAATGAAATGTGAAGAAAGGCAATTGAGACATGGGCCATCTCTATCCAAAGCTTGGGAAAAACACCTGCCACTGAAAAAAATCATCAGAAGTTGTTCAGAGAAGTATGATGAGGGCATATCAGTCTCCAGTATTTGTGTGGACAATGAAGAGATGGAAATAGCAACCTGGAGAGAAGCAAGTGACTCTCTATGTCATTCAAAACTAATACCTCCAACAATGGAGAAAGAGAAGTTAAGAAAGAGACAGTGAGTAAGAACCTGAGTGACCCAATGGTCAGCCATGAAGCAAGTTCACAGGTTAACAAAGGAGAAAGAAGTGCCCCCAAGGACCGGAGCTGACTGGGGACAAAGAGAGGTTGTCACCAATGGAGGTAGAGGGTTAGGAAGAGTAAATGTGAGAGGATGAGGGTACATTGACCAAAGAATAGGAGAGGATGAATGAGAACAGGAAAGATGGAAGAGTAAAGAAATGAGAGAAAATGGATAGCAAGTAGTTTCTGCTTGAGGCTCCAACGTGAGAGGGAACATCCCAAAGACCTCATAGCAAATGAGTAGAGTGAGATGCAAGCCACGAAGAGAGGATTGAGGAAGGTGAAAGACAGAGATAATGATGTTACATCTGAAGAGGTCTCAACTATATAGAAACCATGTGAGGAGAGAGAGAGCCAATGATAAGACCCTGGCTTAAGCAAGGAAAAGGACTGACTGAAGATACCACAGAAAAGCTACCTGGATCCTGGATATAAGAAAACAGATAATGAAGAGATAAGGCAAGGAGAATGCAAAGATGAGAAGTCAGCCCTAGTAAGGGATACTAAAGACAAGAGGGTCAACCCCCAAGAAGGCAGAAGAGGCTCCAGGGACTGAGGATCCAAGAAGGTGGGAGGGGAGCAATCACAAGCCACATTAAAGGAATCACAGATGAAAGGAGGACAAGGCAGGAAAGAGTGGGAATGATGCTGAGATGAGAAGATCTCAGCAGAGATACTAAAGTCAGGTGAAATGGAAAAGATAAACTACAGTATGAAAACTTGAAAAAACATAGGACATAGGAGAAAGGTAAAGCATAGTACAAATCCAACACAATCAGAAAAGAGACTGACTAGTTCAACAGGGAACAATGAGGCCAGAGCAAAACTAGGCAGTAGAAAGAGCTGGTCAAAAACATCAACCTCAGGAATGGGAAACAAACAAGAGATAGAGAAACTGTGAAAAAAAGGCAAAATCCATTAACAATGAAAATTGGTGGCAACATCCTCCACAAGCAAAGAACCTCTAGCAGCCACAGACAAGTTAGAAGCTGAGAGGAATGTCAAGACAAAACATTGCATGGTGTCTCGAGTTCTGCAAACCCTAGTAGAGGATATTAACTAGACTCATTCCAGATTTGGCTTTGTGAACAGAGCTAGAAGCACTGGAGAATGAAGTCACAAGAATATCATTTGGAAGGATTAAAAACAATGTGAAAGGTAACCTTAACGCAGCTTGTAGCATACCACTGTTTAGAAATGAAATAAAGTGAGAAACTGAATCAAAATCTCACAAAAGTCAAAAATGAAAATAGGCATGCACTGAAAGAAGAAATAGTAAGAAAGACAGTAATTACAATAATAAATCAAATCAATCACAAAGGTCCACAAAATCTTTGAAAATTGAACAGAAAAATTTGATGCATCAGAGTTTAAGAATAAAGTTAATGGGGAATATATTGCACCTAGATGATGTGTTGTCCTCCTATTAGTAGAGGGCTATTGTAGTATGATAATTGCATCATGTACTAGCACAATTCCCATCAAAACATGTCATTTAGGAAGGAGATAGTTCAAGGCTAGTAGCATGTGAAAAATCTCAATGGCAGGCATGGAAGTGAGAAATACATAACTTCTATGTAACAGTGGCTTGTTTATTAGATAATTTAATTAAATTGTGTTACACACAAAATTCAAATAGCCCATTTCACATGGTGTTTTTTTATATCTGATAGGTTATAAACATAAACTTAATAGAATTTATAATCATTCTAATAGTAAAATTAAATCATCCAGCATACAAGTTTCACATTTATAAATAAAAGATTTGAGATAACCTGACTCCTTATTTTTCAACTTTAAATCTATTTTATTTTACATTGTTTCACACAATCAGTCATTAATTTCAACAAATGAAGGTTTTTAAAAACCAATGATATAGCAACAGAGAACAACACGTACATGTAAAAAAAACTCACTCAAAAACCTTTCATTTTTTTCCTTATAAAAGTAAATTATTAAGACTATTAATTAAAGCTAATAGTATGAACTATCAAATTTATTCAAAATTCTGTGAAAAAGAAAATATATATTTGATCAAAATGTTGGTCAGGTGATCATAACATCACTAGTTTTTGACCAAAACATTTAACATATTTCATTGATCTTATAAAAGTCTGTATTATGTACCTCTTCTAAGTAGTTCTGACTTTTCACACCTCAATGATCAACAGGAAAAGTATTCTTTAACTTTAATCTGTAAGGTACTGCTAGACTATGTTGCTTGCATTCATAAAAAATTGGTAACGTTGATTCCCTAAGGGAATACTTTTAAAAAAACACAAATTCATGGTGCTAGTGCTGTGCAAGCTGCAATATACATTTCACAAACAGTCCAAAAATGATTGGCTGTTCAACCTTACTTGAAAAATTCCTCAACCACTGTAATATGTTGCTTCAAATGTGATAAAATTAAAAAGTATTTTACACCAACAGAAAAACTGAATATAAAACATTAATATTAAAAAATATTAAATTATTCAACATTAAAAAAACTTAAATAATATACAAAAAATAACTAAAGAGTTGTATATATCCTACAACTATTATCGTATGAACTGTAAGGTACGTACAGGCGATGTATTTGGAACTATTTTGCCATTGCATCGATGCAAAACACGTTGAGCTACTGCTTCATCACCAAACTCTAGAAACCCGTATCCTGTAAGTAAACTTCAAAAGTAAAAAGAAAAAGTATTATTTATTTAAGCAAAATAATGATGCTACTTCTCATAAAACATGTATATCTATGTTTCATCACATTTATTAATAACATTTTGCAAATTAGTAAAATATTTAAAGCTATAATTTGTTAGGATTAAGTAAACCATAAAACACAAGCTTAACTTATAAGGTAAAAATATGCATCAATAAAATAAAAAATAAAGTTAGCTTCAGACATTAATTTTGATTACTCATTAAAAAAACTTTTAAAAAACTAAATTCAACAAAAATACTAACCTTTGCAATAGAATGATCCTCAAATGTTAAGTTGTTAAAGATAAAATGACCAGATATACTTCTTGTAATATTACTCCTCTATCTTGCACCACTGCTCCTACTTTTATTCTTGAAATGGTTCTGATGTCAAATGGAAGCATCTACTATAACACTGTGTTGAAATGTAACATTTATTTCGTCCCTAATTATTTTTATTAACTTCCAAATTTACAAAGGTCTTCACCTAATCTACAATTGTGTAAATACGGACTTTTTTGATTCTTAGATAAGCAGAAAGGAGAGCTTGATGGCACTGAATAATGACATAACTATTATTATTTGTAGATTGTATATTTTAATAACAAGCTTACTTAGGTAAGGTCTTGTTAGATCCTTGGTTCCTGTTGTCTGTAAACTTTATTTTTGAATAATGCTTCAAAGTAATGATTTCTTATCTCATTAAATGGAAAAGTTTGCATTTAGAAAACTAACATTAGTGGTTCTAATATATATATAAATCATTTTCATAACATTACCAGTTTTATTCTGTATACTATGTTACATTATATTCATGTGCTACTTGCGGTTTATATTACTTTTCAAAATCTTAATGGCTAGATTTAGTTTTCAATACAAAGAAATAAAACAAGTTAAAGACCCCAAAGAAACTATGAAACAGTTTCATATTTATACATAAATGTGTTTAAGCTGAACTAAATTTTTTTTAAAAGGATGGGTATTTTATGGACCCATAATGGTTCCCTTTATCACAAACAAATATACAAAATTGAAGAGAAATGCAGTTTCAATAACTATACAAGATTTGAAACATGCTATCTATTGTAAACGATTCCTTTAAAAAAAAATATTGTGTATTGCAAAGGCAGCACATACATATTTTTTTTGCCTACACATTGACAAGCATATGAGATATTGCACAAGACATATAAAAATATTGCATTTCTTGTAAACATTCTGATTAACTTATAAATGTATACACCTTATAGCTATTGTACATAGAATTATGATGTGATAAGTATGTAAGAGGTCATAAGGAAGCTATAATATCTATCACTACAGTTGTCAAAATTATCATCCGAATCTTATATGGGCCTCTTTAGGCCATTATTGGCATACATCCTTTTGCCAATCTTGTGTAAAAATTGTTAAGCAAATTTTCTGACTTAGTAGCCAAACTAATCAACATTTCAGTATTTCTGAACTACCCCAAAACTAGATACGTTTCAATAAACTGAAGATAAGTGAACAAACTATTATTTTGTTAAGTTACTGATACAAACTTAGCTTGCACAGTGGCAACAAGCAAATGACCTTTATTTTGACTGGGTGAATTATGAAGAGGGATCTTTCAGATGCTTGTTTGTAAAATGTGTTTACTTATTTATCTTGGAGAAGATCTTGATGAATAATTTTATTTCCTGACGTTAATAAAATGTAGGAAAGACTTATATTAGTTACAGCACTGATATAATGAAAAAAATGAATGTTCATGTGGTTATTGATAAAACATTGAATCCTTAAAGTATGGTGGAAAGGTGAAATGCTAATTTCATGGAGAATATTCCACTTTAAAAAAAATCACTTTGACACTCTTTATAATTGAGTTACATATGAAAAATAACTATCAATACTGACAAGTGCAAAGCTACACGCATCTATACAATTAAGAAGGAAATTTAAAAATAAGTAACAGTAACATTAGTGCAATATTTAGGTAATGGGAAAATGGCAAAGATTTCTTGGTCTTATTTATAGGAATTTTTAATGTTGAAGTGAAAATGTTATTTTAATCTATATAAAACTGGTTAGATCTCTTTTGGAGTAATGTGCACTGCTTTGGCCCCCTTACTAAAGGGAGGATATTGATATTTTGAAAACTGTACAGAAGAAGGTTACTAAATAGGTACTTCCAATTTCAAAAATTTAAGACACAAAGAAAGTGTTAACGTCTTGAATTTATTCAGTTTTTACTGCAGTATAGAAGAATCAGGTGATTTGAATTGGGCATTGGCAATTTTAAAGGATTTAGAAAATACCTGAGTACTTTCTTTCAGTGTTGGAATTAAAAGGATAGTAATAAGAACAATTACTTTGTATAAAAGATTTGCATGTTGGAGTCTATATGCAGACCTGTTCTTTGACAAAATTGTTTAGTTAGTCATAAACTTGTAGAATGATTTGAAGGATGATGTGGCACATGCAGTGTAGTTATTTTAAACTTCTGATGAATGCAAAGAACAATATTGATTAACTTGGTTTAACTCTCCATATAAAGGCTCAGTCATCTTGAATGGGAGCATAACCACCAAAACACTTGGGGTGCAAGAGACCACTCCGTAGTTAAAATCTTGTCGATATAAGATAATTAATCTCTTGCAGAATTCAGAGCACACAGGACATAATAAGCAAGAAGGCAGACTTGTTGAGACTGGGCCCAGAAAAAGAGATCCAACATTTGAATTATTGGAATGGATCATGACAAACTGCACTAAGTTCCAATAGGTTGCTGTGGAGGGAAAATTCAAACCAGTGTCAAATGACCTTCAATCTCCTGAGAATCCATACATGTTTCCCATCCTGTAAGAGAAGCATCTGTGAACAGGTGCAAATTGTAATAGGGAGGATGTAGAGGAATGCCAGTCAAGGTGTTGTTACTGGTTAGCCACCAGAAAAAGTCTACTTGGAGGGAAGGAGGGAGGATGGCATCCAACATCCAAAGGATCCAAAATAAAATTCCATTGATCATGCAACACCCACTAAAGACCACACATATGTGCACGACCCAGTGTATAAGTTTCCATGGATGCCCTCAAAAGAGATAGAACCCTGTGCACTAGGAGAGATGAAGATGTGGTTTTGTAAACCAAGAGTTCCATTGAACTCAAATAAAAAAGAGAAGGCTGGGCATTGCTGAAGACGGTGTTGAAAAACACCCCCAAATGGATCAGAAACTGTTTGAGGTTGAGATAGGACTTCTCCAGCATGACAAGCCAACCCACACAAGCAGCCTCCTGTAGTAGGAAATGTGTACGAGTGAAAAGAGCTTGTTGGATGGAGCTAAATAGAGCCAGTTTTCCACATAATGGTGGAACTGCAAACTGTGGTCATGACATAACACTACATAACAGAAGACATAAGGTGCTGATGCCAGACCAAAAGGTAGAGCAAGAAATTGGAAAACTGGTCCTCCGTGAACAAAACAAAGGTAATGTCTGGAGGCTGAAGAGATAGGGATATGAAGATACACCTCAGAGAAGTTAACCTCTGTTATCGAGAGAGCCAGAGTGAATGCCCACCAAAGTGTGTGGAAAGACTCAATGGTGAATCGAGGAAGATTGAAGAAGCAGTTAAGGTTGGATATATCGAAGACAGGATGTCAATCCCCAGTCTTTTTGGGAACCAGAAACAGCCGGGAATAGAACCCTGGAGAAGGGTGGTGTACTTGTTTGATAACATCCTTGTGTAAAAGATCTTGAACCACTTCAGAGGGACACTGGCATGAAATAGGATCTCAAGGAGGAAAGAAGAAAATGGTACGTGTGGATAAAGAGGGGGGGGGGGAAGTAGAAAAATGAAGGGAGAGTCCTTCTGATAGAACTTGAAGAAACCAGGAATCTAAGGTGATTGGATACCACAGATGCTCAAACCTGGCCATCTATGCCACAACAATACCAGAAACTACATGTTAGACACCGACACAACTGGCATTGGAAAACACAAGGATGAGCAATTTGGCGGCTCGCTGCTGAAACCCAGGAAGAAGGCACTGGTAGAGGGGAGGAAGCAGGGTGGGAGACATTAAATTGAAGTGGGAGAGGCCTGGGAAAAATGGTAAACCAAGGAGAAAAGGGAGGAATGTTGATGTGCGGCCTCCACCCTTGACTCCAATATATCAAGAGGATTCTCAAATACAGACTGGCACAAATAGGGAGCCAAGCCAAGAAGATCCCAATAACAAAGGAGCCATGTATGAAGGGATAAGTCTGAGGAAGATATCTCACCAACATGGTAAAGAGAAAACCCCTCAGGATAGCCTCAGACAAGTGATGAATAGAAGAAAGATAGCAGAGGAGAGTGGTGAGGGTAAATCAAAGATGTGAAAACAAAGATGTGTTGTAGTGGGCTTGGAAAAATTTCAATGTACTCTCCTGATTGGATCTTCACACTTGAGTCAAATACTCCAAGATCTGAGAGTCCAAATACAGAAAATCCAACCTATGATAAGCCAAAGCACAGGAGTCAGATAAATATAGAAGATGAGGCATGCTGGCACCCAAACAAAATTGGTCTAATAATCAATCTGCATGGATTCAAATATCAGGGGGGAGGGGAAGAATCATAAGACACAGGGGAAAGAGACAAAAAGTAACATACCTGAGAAATTATGTTAAAAAAAGGCTGTCCAAGGATAAGGTAAATCCACAGGGGTAGCACAGAACTGCACTGCAATGAAGGAGGTGGGAAAAGGCTGTCCAAGTCTTCTTTATTCTGACCAGGTTCACCCACGAACAGTATATCTGGCTGCATTTCTGGAGACACAGTAGGCCGCATGATAGTTTCCAATTTGCAATGTACTATGGCTGAAACCTCCTCAGCAGAAAGTATGAATCTCAAAGACACACAAGTAGTAGTGGCCAGATTCACTACTAAAGTTGTTGTAGTGACATTAAAGTGAGAATTCATGATGTGGAAATTAAAAGGAAAATTTTCCACAAAACACTAAGTATGCAGAAATGAAATGACAACTAAGTTGTCAAAATACAATAAAGTTAACTAAGTTGCAGATAAGAATGAGAAATGCAGAACAAAAATTGAGTATGACTGCACAGTGGAATGTCAAATACGATAGTACTTTACAGTACAGAGAGAGTTAGCTGCATCAGGGTGAGTGTCGCTATCCTATTAGTGGAGAGTTGACGCATGCTACAGTACAGCTACACCAAATGTAAACATGTGAAGATAGGTGGGAGCATCAAAGAAAACAGAAGAACAGAATGTGCCTTAATTCTGGCATTTAATAATTGATAAGGAATTGGATACAAGTGATATGTATTGACTTGTTCACTCTCTCTATTTCCAAAACAATTATATGTAGGTAGAAATCTTTGCCATGTTCACTTGTGAGGAAACTTACCCAGTAAATTTGTTTTTTATGACCTTAGCATGAAGGAGGTTTTCACCCATCAACATGAATGCCTGTTTCAAGAAGTTTTCATCCATATATGGCTCCAGCTGTAATACATAAAATAACCAAAGATAAGACTTAAGTAAAAAGGTTTTTCTATATCAAATTTGTAATACAATTAGTTACTATCGTGGTTCTGTTAAAAAAAACTTTGAAGCTCAATCACAGACTGCAGCCCAAGAAGTCTAAAAATCTTTATGTTAAAGAATGTTTGGACAAGGGATAAAAGTTAGTAACTGATGAAAACATAATATATAACTTAAAATATACTTCATTGCACAAGGTATTTAACAGTAATTATTTTTTTATCACACAAAAGTATAATTGTCTTTCTAAATCATCAGTATAAACAGAACAATTGTTTTTGATGAATTATTTTTTCATTGTAATCATGTAAACAGAAATGTTAAAGCATACTCCATCATGCAAGTCTAGAGGATTCAAAGGACAGTACATGGGATGTTGTTTGCTTAATGAAATTAATGTTAGAACTCTTCATGGAAATGACAATCACAACATTTTGTCCCTACACCCAAGTCTTAACTTTGTAGAAGGTGATTTAGTATGATAAAATTAAAGCTCTGTCTAACTAAAAACTTCATGTTAAATGATATAGAACATGTATCTTGTGCAACATAATCTTAAGCTTCACTGTGTTATACTATGACCATTAACTCTTTTCACTACAATGTACTTTAGTTCACTGATAAGTCATATAAAGCCTCATATATTAGAACCTAGCCTACTAACAATATTTAATGTTTTCTTGGTTAGACTGCATAAAAATAACTAATCTTACGCAGCAAACAAGATTTTAAAAAATCATAAGAAAACCAACCAAAGGACTTGGTGGTAAATGTACCTGATAAGTATTTAGTTGCTATGTTGTTAAAAGACATCTTTATAATGTTACTAACTGGAGTACCTGACTGATGGACGAGTGAAATAAAACTCATTTGTAACAAAGAATAGGAAATTGTGCTTCCATTTTTCTTTTTTAACATAATAAATATTACAAGTGCAATAATACATAATACATAAAGGTACCAATACTGAAAAGAAAGACACTGTTTTCAAGTATTCTATCAAAATGAAAATTAATGGGGAGGGGATATCTAGCCCCCCCAGTAGTTTTTCCTAAATTAGATGGGGGGGGGGGGTCTTGAGTGTTGTTTCAAGAACAAGTCTACTTTTTCAGATGGCTTTTGCTCGTATGGTCTCTTAGAATTTTTGTAAAATTGCTGGGTGAACCTTGTTATGGATCACTATCGTGCTTCATGAAAAAAGTGGGGATAAGCACAGACCCTTGAGGCACTCCACTGAAACGTGGGATGGCATCCCACTCTACTTCAAACACTATTAATAAGAATTCTGATTGTAGAGAGTCAAACAGTGATACAGATTTCATGAAGTGATTCAAAATGGTTTGCTATACCACATGGTCATACAGCCAACCAGAGGGTTAGCCATCCTAGAATTATTGATAATCAATAATGAGGATATAAGTTCAGGAAGATTTAAGGAAGAGTAATGATTGCATAATTGTTTTAATGTTTTGCAGAGATAAAAATGAATGAAATTTTAGCTCCTAGTTTTTAGAATCATATTTTTAGGTGATAAGAAAATATTTATCATTAGTAAATTGGGATAATGAGTTGAAAAGTGATTTGGGAAATTTATAAAAATTAATTGCTTTTAATTGAAAGTAAAGATGTTTATAAAAAGAGAAAAAGTATAAAATGGATTATCAAATATAATTAATTTACTACAATATTAAAGTAGACAAAAAAAGGAAAATGCTCTAAGTTTGGAAGATTTACAGAACTAGAAGGAAATCTAAGGATATGGCTATAAAGAAAAATTAGGAAATCCAAACAGTCTTATTCAAAACAGATTGAAGGTAATGTTAAAACTAAAATAAAAATTGTTGTTTTTTTATGTATGTTAAATGTAAGTAAAATGTTAAAATAAGGATTGGGCACTTAATTAAAGGCTGCTGATGGCAAAAGTTTGTTGAAGACTGAAATAGCTGAGCTTTTAAATGTTTTCTTCTTCTTCTGTTTTTACAAGAGAAGATATTAGCAATATTCCCCATTCCTAATCATTCTTGGAAAATCCTGACACTGACTTGAATCATGTTGATACTGATCTATTGGTAATAAGTAGAAAGATAGAGATTAAAAATAAAGCATCAGGACCAGGTGAGGTTTTCCTTAGGGTTTTAGAAGAGGTAAGTCATTTTAGGTAGCAGGTAAGATAGTGGGCAGGTGCCTGAGAATTGGAGAGTTGCTAATGTTACTCCTATTTGTGTTAGTGCTAGGATAAAAAATGTCTTAGCCATATAGCACATTTGTTTTAATTTCAATTAGCAATAAACATACTCAATTAATCACAATAATTAACACACATTTATCACAGTAGCTATGTTTACATCAGTTGTAAAATTATTTCAGTGGTTATGTGTACAAAGATACTGAAAGTTTTATAGGAGGGATACTATCCACCATGGTGACAATTTTGATACTTTACAACCATAGCATTATTGACCCAGTGCTATATTTGAAACACAACATTCTAAATACATTTCAAATTGTTCAATTATCTAAGGATCTGTAAGTCAACAAGTTTAATCTATAGTTCAAAATGTCAAAATCCAACCATCAATAGCTATTTAGTAATGGCATAACCTAAGCAAAAATAGCTGTTATGGCAGTACATGGTTCTAATCAAGATTCAACATAGTCCAAAAATATGTTATTGCATGTGCATCAACGTAGTAGCATAAATACATCTACTAAAATTACATTACAGCTGGTGTAAATATAGCCACTGCCTACATTTATTAGTTGTATATGATAGTAGCTGAAATGTATAATGCTAGGGTCTGAAGTTGTTGACATTGTTGCTATGTTTTTCTTTTCTTTTTTTGTACTCTGACCAACTTGCAGAGCTTATGGCTGATCAAGTGAGTAAGTATTTTTGTAATGTGTTTTAATTTGGCATGATGGAGTACAAGTTATTGAAACAAGTTCATTCTCAAAGCATGAATAATAATAATAATGTTATAAGCTACTAGTGCTAGCAGTACCAAAAGGCTGCTCAATTCTGTGATAAGACAATGCAAGTCAAACACTAGTCAAGAAGTAATTGTTACAATGTTTAATATTCTGCAGAATGGTGCTTCCAGTAGTTCAAATAGAAATAAAAATTCAATGAGATACAATATGTTTACTTCTGTACAACAACGTACAAATACATATTTTAAAAGACAATCAGCAGGGTTAAAATAAAATATAAACAGAATGAAAAATAAACTTAGCAACAACTCAGTGTAGTTTTAGAGATTACCATCATCACTGTATCAAACAGCAGGCTTTTATACTCACCAATTTATGACACTAATTGTAAATGAAGAAATGGCAACCATTTAACACTAACACAGATGAAGAGTTACCCTGGAAATCACAGACCAGTTAGTTATTTGGATTGAAGGTTGGTTGGATGACAGAAAACAAATATTGCTATTAATGGCCTCCAGTCAATCTGAACCTTGTTATTTGTGGAGTGCCTCAGGCTTTAGTGTTTAAGCTTTTGCATATTTCTATTAATTACACAGACACTGGCATAATTAGTACAATAAAGTTAGCTATGACATTAAACTCTTGGGCATTTCTCTCTGTATTGAGGATGTTTATACACTAAAGAATGATTTGGATTAAGTGGTTAGTTAAATAATTGACAAATTACTCATAATTATACAAAAGCAAGTGTAAAGTTGTGCATCTTGGTTATCAAAATATGGATCACACATTTAATACTTATGGAAACTCCCTTAACAGCATGACCGGAAAGGATCTTGGCACAATGGTGGATAAGTCAATTAAGCCATCAAAGTAGTGCTTTATTGGTAGTAAAAGGCTAACAGAATTTTAAGGTGATCTACAGACATACTGATTACAAGTCAAAATAGATAATTACCTCAACACAAGTTGCTAAATTAGTAGTTAGGCTTCACTGGAATAGTGTGTACAGTTTGGCCTCCTTTATCTAACTTTTAATAAAAGGTACTGATTTTACAAACACAGCTTAATACTACTCCTACTAAGGCTCTAGCTACAGAGTACTATGATGACTCTATGGATGGCTTGTTTGTTTAACTGAATTCTTTGCAAAGTTACTTGAGGGATATCTGCACTAACTGCCCTAGTTTTGAAGTGATAAGCTAGAGGGAAGGTAGCTACTCAACACCAACTCTTGAATTATTATTTACCAGCAAACAGTGGGATTGATTGTCACATTGTAACGCTGCCACGACTAAAAGGACGAGCCTGTTAAGCGACGGGTGTCGATACTGCAACTGGCAGATTGTGAGTCGAGCAGTTTCGGCCTCACTACCAAGTCGTGTCAGATTTTACAGAGTGAAAAGTTATCTTATATGGTTAGGTTAAGAGCTCTTAACTTATTTTCTGTTGAGAAATTTAAGGTAAGAGGTGGTCAAACTGAAGTTTAGACTGTTTACAGAATTATCAAATATATATATCCAAGTAAACCTAACTTAGGCCTATTTCAGCTATTTGCAAATTATATGTAATGTATCGCAATCTGCACAAACACCGAAGATTACAAATTACAATAAGAATAACTTGAATAAGACAGGTAACAAACAAAAAACACTTTTGGGTACTTACATCTCCTATCCAAATTGTACCACTCTTCATATCCATTTTTATTGGAATATAGAACTAGATAATTGTTAACAGCACTAACAATTGGTAACGCTACTTTTAATTTATCAGCACATTATATTTCTAACCAAACTAAAGAATATTTAGCGACATCTAGCGAATATGTGTTACGAAAAAGCCTGAAGGCTATAAGTAAAATTATTATTACTATTTCAGAAGTTTTTGAACGTTTTAATTACATTTTGAAAATTGATCATACAGAACTACCTAGCTATACGATATAACAATTTTGGTAAGACAATTAATAGGTTAAAATAAAAATAATTATACATTATTCCTATAAGTCCTCTCCTGATTAAAAAAGCCGAAAAATTTATGTACATATATTTTTGGTTTGTCACCAAAATCCGACGGCGAACTATGTGTGTGCGTGTGTGTACTTTAGAGCAAAGCCACAATGGGCTATTTGCTGTGTCCACCACGAGGAATCGAACACGAAATTTTATCATTGTAAGTCCGTAATTTCTCCTACCTGGGGACACGGCTAACTATAAATGAATAGAAATAATGATGTCATGTGCATTAATTAATATAAAGAGTATGTTTTCTATAACACATTAAAAATTATATGTATGTGTTTTATACGGATACTTTTAATATATTGTTGCGTCTCCGTTCGTTAGTTAATTTTCCGTAAATTCGTTCTGACGAAACTTTAGCGACACAAGTCCTTTCTTAAATAAAACTGGTTTATTCTTTCTAAATATAACTTTGCGATACACTTAATTTCAACAGTCGCGCTATAACAAACGTCTCACGTGCTCGACTTCAACAGTACTCAGTTCAACTACACACTGTCTGACTGCAGTTCAATTGCTCATTGTTCCGTCACGTTGTGACCATCTTATATATACCAGACTACCCCCAATCTAGTAGTCTCCCGATAATTCACGAAGGTTCGAGAAGGACGTGGCGTGATATTAGTCACGTGACCTCGCTGACGCAACAATATATAGTCGTTTACTAAATTGATATTAAGTTTAATCATTGTTTATTAAATCATAGTCTTTACTGATTCACTGAGAGTACTTTAGAAATATATATCTTATTGGTCACCATCTAGCAGGGCCCGGCATGGCCAGGTGGTTAAGGCACTCGACTCGCAATCTGAGGGTCGCGGGTTCGAATCCCTTTTCAGCCGTGGGGGCGTTATAATATGACGGTCAATCCCACTATTCGTTGGTAAAAGAGTAGCCCAAGAGTTGGCGGTGGGTGGTGATGACTAACTGCCTTCCCTCTAGTCTTCCTGCTAAATTAGGGACGGCTTGCGCAGATAGCCCTCGTGTAGCTTTGCGCGAAATTCAAAAACAAACAAACAAAACAAACCGTCTAGCAGTTTTTTTATTTCTATTTGCTCATAAACAGATTAATTTTAAATCGTCTCAATAGAAACCTTAAAATAATTAAAATTATTTTTATATCATATTATCACAACCCGCAGAGTCCTTATGTACTCAGCGGTAAGCCTCAAGGCTCATATCACTAAAAACCGGGTTTCGATACTCGTGGTGGGCAAAACACAAATATCCTATTATGTAGCTTTGTTCTTAATAAGGACCAAGCCAAGCTTATCTGGAATTTGCTGATCAGTCTTAGAAGTAAGTTTTACTCGTTCAAAGGAATCTTTCAATATAGAAAGGGGCAATTTAATTCACATACATACAGAGGCGTCGTTAGGCACTGGCACACAGAGTCCATGCTCCGATTTTCTGTTGGAACTTTGTATTTGAAGTTAAGCCTACATTAGTATCAGTATATGTTGAAAAGTTAATTATGAAATTACGCCTACAAGTACAAGTGAACATGGGTTTTGCAAATGTTTATTCTTTGTCGTTATGTGGAGTGGACTAGGCATTATTTTAAACAAAAAATTCGCAAATGATAGAATATGTTGCATCATTAACATTACTAAATAATCATTATTCCTGTCACCCATCGATGTTTTTAAGCACAATTTCATTGAATTAAACTAAAGATTGATTTCGTGACTATCACAAATTTAAAGAAATATAGTCTTCATATTGAAAGCCCCACAATGGCACAGCGGTATGTTGCTGCAGTATATAAAACGTAAATTAAAGTGATATACGTTCCACAACCTCGAATTTTCGACATAAGTTATTACTTCACAAGCAAAATTAACTGTAATGTGTGTGTTTATTAATAAGAGTAATTTAACATATATGTTCAAGCAAGGACCAAATCCTGAAATAAACAAATTAAGTCTTCGTCATTTTACATTAGATCATGGAATTCTTTAACGACTGAAAGTTCGCTATAGCGGAAGTGGAAAGATTCTTGATCATGTATAAGAATTTCAATAGGTAATAATCCTATTAAGCGAAAAAACAACAAAAAAAAAGATCAAATACGTATAAATTCTAGGAATGATTAAAATACTTTCGAATTTGTTTATCAATTATGTGATAACTATACCTGGTATCTATTTTCTAATATTTTTGCTCTGAGTTATCTCAAAGATACAACTAAGAACCTCGGTCCAGATATGTTGGATTTCAATTGAACTAATCCAAGTTTATTCTCATGGATTGTAAAGTACCCAACCTATGTGTGTGAGAGCTAGATTAACTCGAATGAAAATTATATCAAACTGTTCCGGGTTTTATTATTTCGAGAGAATATCTTGCCACAGGTTGAAATGATGCAAAATGATAAACAAAAGACAATTAAATAAACTAGCAGAAACGCCTCCCTCCGGTCGGCTGTTTGTGATAGTAATTACTAATTGTAGTATTCATACCTCATTGGGAAAAAAATTAGAAAAATGAATATTTTCTAAAAAAAAAAAGGATTTTTTTCTGGAAAGTACTGCACGAGAAAAGTATTCGGATTGTGCTCTTTAGTCATACGCAATTCATTTCATCAAAATGATTCAATATACAGAGCTCAAAATTTTCATAAGCTTTACTGTTATAAGCTGTAATGTTTTTATATATTAAAAGTGGTACCGTTTTTGAAAAAAAATAGTTTTTTAAGAACTCCGGTTTTTAAGTACAACATTTAACAATTATATCAATAAAGATATGATCAAACCCTCACGCAGAATCCTAGTGAAAGTCGTGTACTTGTTGTAAGGAGAGTACTTTTATTTAAAATTGTTTTATATTATAAAGTAATGGTTGTTACACATATCACACTTACTTTTATAATTGTCTGAATCTTGAATACCCAAAGTGTGAATTTTTTTTTATGGATTTTTGTTTGTAGTACCTTTCAGTAGATGGCGCAGTAGTTTTGTTTACATATATAGTTACTGACATACTCGCTACGTCCATTATAGTAAGATGTGATTTTGAAAACGGTAAAAATGTTGAGGTTAGAGGGAAATAGAGAAATACTGTCAAACATTCATTGTTCAGTAGTCTAATTCAAATGATGTTGGTTAAGCTTTATTTGTTTGTTTTAGAGTAAAGCCACGTTGGGCTATCTGCTGTTCTGTTCTGTTACAGTAACCTTCTGTAGTAACTTTACTTAAATACTTTAAACGTCAAGAAACAAGTACTAATATGTAAATTAGAATTCACAACTATGACACAACACTTACAATTCTGTATCATTGAACCACAACTTTAAAGTCCGTGAAATTTTTGAGCATTTATAATTACACAGTATAGTATGGAAGGAATGAGTTTAATCTTTGGTGTTGATAAAAACAACTTAAATCATATAGTTTAGACTATCAGCCCGTTATCTTACGGCTTTAATAATTGATCTTCCTTTTGTATTTTCTCAATGCTAAGTCTGTATTATGCTACAAGAGTTTAGAAAAGAGGCAGAATTGTTGCTAACTGCTTCCTTTTTGTTACTTTAACAATAAACTAAACTTCAATCTGGAAGCTTTATTTCAGTCTTTGATCATTTTATCGGTAATATTATGTCGAAAGCCAATCCTAATGCTTTTAAAACCGCCAATAAACAAAAAAAAAACAATCTTTCGGTTAATAGCATAAGAACTATGTTAGCACTTTTCAATTATAAACCGAAATTTGTTCGGAAATATGTTTCAGTGCAAAATCTTTTCGAATTATGTAGCATTCCAAGTTCAAAACTGGATTAAATAAAGCTAAGTTTTTATTCAAACCTTCATGCTATAACATTACCGGAGCTGTTGGGGAAGCCAGGTGTAACGGGTGTCATGCCACGCCTCGTCGCGCAACATTTCCTCCAACTCGTTGAGGACCCTTGCCTTTTCTTTTCACGTGATCGACCTTCTTACTAACAGAACCTGCCTGGTCTACCGAAACCCACTACCCACCGATCCACATTTCAAGCTAGGTAGTCGTCCAGTCGAAATAACTGTTCTGCGGGTGAAAAACCCCACAGTGCCTCCTCGTGCTATAGCTCTTGAGGGTTGTGTTGATGGTAGAACACAGGAAATACTGCGTTTGTGATAAGTGCAATTCGCGTTAATTGTTGTTGTTGTCGTTTTTTCGTGTGTGACGAACAGCAATTAATTATTAAACGTGCCTAAGTGTTGCTCCGACACCCAGACAGCCTTTTAATTTACTTACATGATTTTCTCAATCAACTGCTTGAAATGAATATTCAAAGATGTTTCACTGTTAGTTATATTCTTCTGGGATACATATCTCAATTGTTTGTGTGGGGTAAGTAACTTATTTTTTATGAAGATATACATTTATTTACATCTTGGTTTAATTAATCTAAAAGTTATGATATACATGCAAACAATAAGTCTGCTCTGTGGATCGGAGTGTGAACTTTGGGGTGGGAAGGTGGAAAATACATGGCGTGGTGTGCCCCTTTTATGTTTTCTCTACTTATTGTTAACATGAAATGTCATAGGGTTTTGAGTAACAAATTGAAGAATACCCGGAATATCTGTTTTGGGTTTGTTTTTGTATATCTATGTTGCTATCCTTAATATCTTATTTTCACTACATATACGTATCTAATAGTTAACAGTTAAAAATAATGTTAAGAATTTTTAACCCTAGCTTTTTATTGGTGGTATCAATTATATCTAATAATTCAAATAATAATCTGAACTTTATAACATTTTTAAAATTTCCTTTATTAAAAGTCTGTAACAGAAGAAAACAAAGAACTTTTTTGAACAATGTCAGAAATTTCTTCATGCTGCAGGTAATTATCAAATGTAGATTATGTCTATACGTCCGTTCTGTTATGACGTGTACTGTTTTATTCAAACTTATGCTTCTGGGATATAAATATATAAAACGTATAAACACACACACACACACATACACACACAAAGAAGGTAGGTTAAACTTCATCTGGTAGCGAACAGTAAAAATACAGGAAATTGTTAAAACAAGGAGATCTGATTCTAATTCAACAATAAATAATTAAAATTTTAATCTGTATTATTTCCCGTTTCGTTCCATTAATACTAAACAGAGTATGGCATTGAATAACACGAAATATAAAATGAATCAAAGACCGCAAAGACTAATGATCAACTCGTTTCGTCGCATGACAAACCAGTTGGACGAGTGTGGTGTTGTAGGCGAAACGAAACATGTAGGACACCACACCGTCCTTGTTTGAATAACTGAATAGATACCATTAGCTTGAACCATAAGAATAGTAAAATTCATGTTCCTTGAGGAGTAGGAGAATTAAAGTCCAATGAAAAGAATAGTAAAGTCAGAGTACTCACAAAAAACATTATCTACTAAGGAGGTCATTCATTAATATCAGCTAGTTTTCTTTTCATATGGATATCTCAATTCAATAATCATTAAACTTTTTTGTCGTAAACCATTAAGATATACTTGGATGCAGCGAATTTACTGATTTAACAACATACTTACTTTACATATATGTATATGGTTGGGCACAATAAAGTCTTTTTTTTCTTACATTTATAAAGAAACGCTGAGGGACAAACTTTTCAGAGAAAACATTCGTACAGTTTTAAGTGTCTGAAGCTACTTTTCCCCTTACAATACTTTTTTAATGAATTTCGTATGGTTTAACCTATAAGTGTAAGAACTTATGGATGAAATTAAAGAACAATGTATAACAAACTTGACGAAGAATGAGCGAGGAGTCTCTTAAAAATAGAAAGGTTTTAGATTATTAGAGAAACACTATATTATCAATTTTATTATAATTGTGTGTGTGTGTGATACATTATCAAAGAAACAGGGCTGTTAGGCCACTTTCGACAAATTAAAGGAAACAATTCTTGCTTCGCAATTGTAACTTATGTAAAATGTTCTCAGATATCTATTAAAATATTTATTGTAAGAATATCATTAACTTTATTTTGACTGTCTGTTGATTTCACAAAAAATATTATTTGTAGTTAGGCCCGGCATGGCCAGGTGGTTAGGGCGCTCGACTCGCAATCTGTGGGTCGTGGGTTCGAATCCATGTCCCACCAAACATACTTGCCCTTTCAGCCGTGGGGGCGTTAAAGTGACGGTTAACCCAACTATTCGTTGGTAAAAGAGTAGCCCAAGAGTTGGCTGTGGGTGGTGATGACTTTGCTCTAGTCTTTCACTGCTAAATTAGGGATGGCTAGCGCAGATAGCCCTCGTGTAGCTTTGCACGAAATTCAAAAACAAACAAACAAAACTTTTTTAGGTTTCTAACCCCCGATTTTTTTACAAAAAATAACTCGTAAATACTGTGTCTAGTTTATCTTTTTTATAAAAAATATTGGTAAACAGTTATCAACTTGGAGTCGTTCTGTTATTTTGTGACCCACTATTCGATTAAATATCTACACAAAATATTCGTTTCTACATATCTTGTATCTAGAACCTTCCGAAGCAAAATAATGGGGTGAGATTTTAAATTGTCATACACAATTTCAGTGTATACACCCCTGTTGGCTCAACGGTAGGTTTTTGGCTTATAGTGCTAAAAATAGGGGTTCGATAACTGACGTGGGCACAGCATAGGTAACCCACTGGGTAATTATGTGCTTAAACATAAAACAAAGAAACACATAATCAGTGTATACGTTTTTACGCATCAAATTGCATTGAAACAGTTAACCTACAAGTCTTTACAAAACAGCTGAAGCATTTTACAAAGACAGTTTATTAACACAAAGATAGCAAGTTTAACCCGTACTTTAAGCTCCAGTAAACAGTTATTTACGCAACTGGGTAGCAAATGTATAGGTTAAGTTATACTGATATAAATCAAGCAATGCGCGTTAAATTAATTAGTGACTATTGGGTTCAAGCTGTTATTTTTAAATTACGGCCTACGTGAAGTTAGCCTAGAAACTCGAAGTTCAATGTTTAGCTTAATATTAATGAGTTTTCATCAAATATTACGATTACTAATTTGGAATTAGTTTAATTATATGTAGTTTTAAGTGGATTTTCCTCGTTAATTACAAAAGGTTTTAAAATTAACACATGTAAGGTTGCTAAATTTCGTGCATTACGAGCGAGCGCTCAGAAACATCAACATCGGTGATCTTATGAAGAACGACGATCTGCGCATAACCGCCCCAATTCTGAACTGATAGAGTAGGCACTATATGGAAGGCAGCTAGTTAACAGCACTCACCGACAACTCTTCGTGTCTGACCGAGTAGTGGGATTTTACTGTCACTGTTATAACTCGCCCACGGCCTCAAAGTGCGGACACTAACCACAATGCCACACTCAGCCCATAAAGAACGATATGGCCACAGCTCTGCAAACAAATTAACTTATTCAGGTTGATTTGCTTCCGAGAGTTATACCAATATTCAACACTATGTGATCACATTTTAAAGCACAGTAACAAACTAGTTATCTGTTTCC